AATCCTTTGCAGATTGAGTATCCGATTGCTTAATTTACTGCAAACACCGGTTTTAACACAAACCTTATTAAGTGGACGTCATCCATGACTTTCCATTATTCTCCAATTTCAAGTTGAACAGTCCATTGGTGTCAGTGGCAAATTTAACTGAACCACACTTTCTTTTCTCCATATGCAGGAAATTATTTTGTCACTTACGAGGATAATGAGGTTGTTAGATCACTAGATACTAAGCCTACCCTAAAATTGACGAGACCGGTGGCAGGCTGTCAACAAATGCATACACATGTTTGCTGCGTCAATAGGTACGCTTGGACGTCGCGATAATCACGGAGCGCATTCAGTTGAAGAATATCGTAAACGAAGGTCCAGCATTCGGGCCAACGCAACGATCATATTTCTGTAGAAGCCAACTCCTCTTTCGACTGGGCAAACGCTTAACCAAATCTACTAATCAATGTGCAGTCGCCCAGATTTCCCGACTACACACGAACACCCAGAGATATCTCTCTGCGTTGTGATCCATTTCGTAACAACTAATGCACTTGATGCAGTTAATTATAGAATTTATTACTTTACGCACGATAGGGCAAGAAAGCTGTCCGCTGCTGTAACCCAGTGTAACAACGCTAAGTGTCATTCCGCTGATGAAGTGCAGTTGCTGTCGGCTTACATTCAGAACTTACTCAACAGCATTTTATCCCGGACAAGTGGCAAGGAGCAGCACAAATATGGGATTGCCTCATTCCTTTTATTCATCTCCTCTGCTGCTACTAATGGGTCACAGATTTCAAGGACTTTTAACCTCGATATAGAATCCGCTCTAAATAAATTTGAGGTCTGATGGATTCCAAAAAATATCTATCCAGTTTTCCACGAATGATAACGGAAAAACCTTTGTCCAATATACTTAATTTTGTTAAAGATTCAAAGCCAAACCGACCGAGGTGCCAAGGCTAATCACACTCAATTTCACTGTGCCGTAGCTCTGAATTAAGTTCCGACATGGAAGTCATTGTAAAAAAATTGAAATTGAAAGTTTTGTCTACTTTTTGCTGTTTCTTTTTTTCAAATCTAGTTTTACCAAGTCCAGACGAGCGCAAAGTAGCGGACGAGAAAGGCAAGTTCTAGGTCGCTTGATCTGTCTGATATTGAAGTCTTTCCACTTTACTTTTATTCCGCTCAAAATTAGTTTGGTGTTCTATATACTGTGCAAAGCTTCCATCGCGTTTTTGAATTCTGTCTCAATAATAATTTTTAGTTTTGATGAAACAGTTTAAATTATTTCAGGGCATCACAAACTAATCTGGTACTCGGATATAGAATCGAAGCATTACACTCCGCACGAAGGTTTTCTCTTGATACTTGGATTACTACCAAAATAAATTCAGCATATTATCGTCTTATTCCAACAGTTTAGTTATATTGGATTATGACGTACGTAAGACCCTATCACGATGAGCAATACTGGCAACCGTTTGGGTGTAGAGAAGAGTCAGAAGGGCACTCGTCAAGTTTCTTTCAAGTGTTTGTAATGCTCTACAGGTATGCGTATAGGAGAGCGGCCACACTACAGTCACACTACGAAAAATTTATAAGTAGCTCAGTGGAAGGATAGACTTCACCTGATAAATGAAACTTCCATCTGAAAAGTCATTGCCCGAGGAGTCGTTAACGCGTGTGACCACGTGATGAGGATCCCGTGATTGAACGATGAGCAGCGCTATATCCTGTCTAAGTGCGAGTTAGCCACACTGCTGATCAGCCACCCGTGGCCGAACGGTGAAGTGTTCAAACTGCTAGCCAAGGGGTCGCGTGTTCGAGATTGTCCATGAGATGCGCACTGCTGATGATTCCCAGTAGGGACGGAACAGTTGTACATTGCTTCTCGGCTTCAATTGCAAGACGGAATCTCCACAGTGATATATATGAATTTGCTTGTAAACAGGATTCAGCCACAGATACACAGGATCCAACACACGCACACACGACTGATTAGCTACTTGTTCCCGAAATCCTGCTTGGAATTTTTCGCCGGATCTGATTGGTCCACAATGGATTCCCGTTTTCGTACTTCAGCTTTCTAATCCACCGATATGAACGTTGAGTGTGAAATTCTATGTTAAACAGATGAGCACGTAGAAAAATTCCTGGCGCGTGCTTGTGCTTTCGGAAGGACAAATGTGTGGCGTTCTAGCAGGAGTCCCATACAACGCCCGAACTCGGATTCAGGAAACGTAAGCTGTGGGCAGCGCTTCTGACAAATTTATCAACAAACTAAGATTTTGAAAACCACAAAAGGCGGACGCTCAAATGAGCCCTTTTTTATTTTCCAGTGGGGTAATTGGTTGAATAAAATGTTTTTTTTAACGACAAGGTCATGATCTGACAAATTTATCAACAAACTAAGATTTCCAAAACCTGAAATGATAGGACGCTCAAATGAGCCGTTGAGTATTTTCCAGTGGGGTGATTGGTTGGATACAATGTTTTTTCAACGACAAGGTCGTGACCAACAGCCTTCTATTTCTAGTCCAATTTTTATTGACGATATTTGTCCTATTAGGATGAATCACATTCGATCAGACGGCTAAGTGGACTGAGCTGTATTCATCCTGCGTTTTCAAACGTATTTGAAAGCGTATTGGTCGGTAAAATTCATCTCAATCCAAGAGGATAACTTCCGCTAGAAGTGCGGAATCGAAAAGCATGTTCTGAGCATGATTTGAATCTTTTATGTGTGGAATTTGAAGTCCCTTCACAGGGAAGGTCGGCAGCTCAACACTACCTCAATATTCGCCCTCTTCCTTGATAACATAGGTTAACAATGATGAGTTTACGGCACCCGTGTAGATAGCGAAAACTTTGATACTGAAAAGAGTATTGTTAGCTCGTGGTGTGACGAACTCGCCGATTCGTTCCATTAAGATTTTCAGCTAGGTTGCAGAATTTCATCCATCAATCAAGCTGACATCGTCAGTGCATTTTGAGTGGAAGATATGTCTAGTTTTTTGTACTAAAACCTCTGCATTCAGACCTTATCACAGAGAGCAACCAAATGAACATGGCGAACGCTTTGTGGGGAATTCAGCCGCCTAGACTTTCTTACTAGTTCATGATTGCTTAGTCCTCAATTTCACCTGTTGTAATAAACAGCCTACGAGTTTCTCGGAACAGAAGAAATTGTATCAGTCATGACGCCAAGTCCAAGAAGGACAATGGCATTACTTGCAATTCATCGCAAGCCGGTTGACAGCTACACCTGCCTGCTAACGAATTTGAGCTGGTCCCTTCTACACCAGCTTACTCTTTAGAGCCCCGAAAGAGTCAGTTTAATGCCCGAATATCAAGATTACTGTGCGTTTATTACTGTACATTTGTGTTTTGTGTCCGCATCCCTGGATTCTCCAGTTATCGGATACTTCTCTTGCCCGGTTGATCACGCCACCTGCGCAACCATACTTGTTTTCCGTTCCAACCGCAAGTGTTCTTGCTCGAGAAACTGTACTTTTACGGATCTAGATATTCATCTATATGTAAATGGCGTTTGAAATTCTGTGGTTGAGCTCTCTTTGTATCCTTCTATATTCCCATTGTTAGAAATAGACCTCTGAACTCTTCATTGATCGTCGCACTTTTGTGCAATTTTCTCACTATCAAGCGAGATGATACCGGTGTCTTTCCTGAGTGAAGTTAGTTTCGATGTCAACAAATAGATTCCTCCTAAATTTCCTGATAACGCATAGACGATGTCCTCTATGCTCGCAAGATGATCACAGTAGAAGGTGGTCACCAGCTGAACAACATAACCCAGCAAAACTTCCTCTGCTCCTCTCGTTGAGGGTCCTCCATTTGCACAATTCCTGTAGCCTAACTCCAGTTCAAGACAAGAGTTGAATGCGTTTATCGTGGGCCGACTAACACATCTTGGCCGAATCACCACATAGTGGTATTCACATGGAGGTGTGTTATCCTCAGTAGGCTACGCGTAGGCCGCTATCTTGCGTAAAGCACACAAAACTTGCTAACGGAAGCGTTTATTCTGCTGATCAACAATACCCTTGAAAGTTTCCAGTAAATAACGTATATATGACCTGTCGTACAATACAAGTGACCAAGTGGGGATAGCGTCGAAAGTACACGGTTTTAAGACTTGGGGTCACCCATCCCCTGATTGGAATTTGGCCAAAAGGGAAAACATTCAAACGAAAGGAAGAGCTTTGTAATCTGAGATATATGTCGTGCAGCGAAAATTGGCTTACTTCACAGTGATATATATTTTTTGCTTGTAAGGACGGCTTTTTTCTAGAAGAAATGCACTTTACTCTTGTACAACTAGTAGGATGAGGTGTCAGAAACATCTCTACATGCTTTTAATTTGTTATACTACTGACAAGCTTTGTGGACCTCTGGAAATTGCAATCCCTGTTGACTGGAAAGTTGGACTGTTTTATCTGGGAATCAGAAACTCACGGCTGTCAATCACTCCTTTTTCGTTTAAACTCGTTTCGGATCTGTTGAATCTCTACCTGTTATTTCTTTTTTATTTTGGTTTTTCTATCTCTTGCTGGCTACTCTGCCTCACCTCTGCCAAGTAGGTTACTTTCCTGGTAACATGCGATGTTGTTTTGTGGTTACAACCTAATATACACGTTTTACATGACCAGTTTAAACAGCCACACAGCTTTCCGCTGCCGACTAACTCACAGTCGTGCAATTATGCGAGTGTTCCCACCAAACAGGAAGTTCAGACAGACACCCAGCGCTGAACAAGTCATCTAGTCATGATGGATTGGTTCCCTGTTTGCCTTAAAACCCTATCAATCTGATAACTCACTGATACTCACTCGGCCTTGTGTCAAAGGCAAAAATTGCCAAGGAATAAATCCACTGACCGTTTGGTAAACCTCTCTGAAAAGAAGCACCTAATTATCCGTAAAAAATACCTATCCGGCTGTCTAGATCATTACGGAATCTTTCTATATGCTTCATTTACACAGCTTACAGTCCGTGTCCGCTGAACATTTGCAACTCTGGCAAATGTCTAATGATCAACAACCAACCAGTTTGTAGGTAAGTTTGGAACTGTGATAGTGTTCATTTGTTTAATTGGGTTAAGGCATTGATATCAACAATGTTGTCCTCATCGGCAGAATTAAACCTGTGTGACAAATGTGACTAATGAGACCTACGTATCACCTTGTTTTTGATCACGTGCCCCCTAACCCCTCGGAAAGTAAAAATCCGATGGGCACTTACTCCTACATAGATGAGTAAAATGATACCCTGCAGCTGTGGTTAACTCTTCGACCAACCGAAAAAAACAGATCACCGCAACCAGAAGACCCTCAGGACGGATATCGTAGCCATACTTCCACGGTGAAAGCGTTTGAGAAAGCGAAATAGAAACAGGGCTTCACTCTGGTGATGTGGTGATTAAGTGATTGGGCTAGCAAATCACAGAATTGCTTCGAATACGCTGACCGCAAGTGCCCTGATTGTGTGCACCAATACCTTTAGCCAAAAATCGAAGTCGTTCTGCAAAAAAAACCCACAGGGACAGTAGGTTAGGTAGAAGTCACACGCAATGCCGGATTGTGTTCTATAATAGAGTTGTTAAAACACAATTTGTTGAATCCTCTCAGCGCAAGGAAAATTGCCCCTCAGGTCAACTACGAAGATGTGTTGCGGTTCACCGCAATAAATTTGTTTATTTAAGTGGAAATACCTAGGCCATCTAGTGTAAATAAGGTCAGGGAATGTGGAAACATTTAAAGTAAAAAAAGTAGTATGGTCGAATACTATATTACGAGCTGACGTTTTGATTTCCGTGGAAAGACTTTTCCAAGGAATTCTAAAACCAGTTGAATCAAGTGCAGCGTCATTTGGGTCTAGTATCATGTATTACGATCGGTGTGACCCTTAGATCAGTTGTCAGTCCTATGGAAGAATCTCTGTGCTCGTCTACGCGTCATTGTGTGGGTCTGTTCGTTTTTGTGCCGGCAGTGATGCATCACTGTTGAAATTCACGCTCGGCATCAGGCAGCCTTCTCAGGTTTGCCGGAAGTTCAAGCCGGCTAGACGGGATTGTGACATCATCAATACCGCTGATTCAGTTTGGAGAACGATGTTCTGCTCTGTTGGCACGTGGGAATGAATGCTGAAAATTACCACTTGGTATACGGATCCTTCAGGGTTAAAAACAAGTTCAAAGAGCTTCAACTTACAAGTGAATAGTTGGCTCAACTTGACAAAACTGATAATATGTGTGGGATAATCCGATGCGGTGGAAGTACACTCGAACAGAGCAAGCCAATGCTGAATTCTACGGAATACACTCTGCTCAGAAAATAAAAAGGTTTATAAATTTTGTGCTGGCAAACTTGGCTGGGCGTCCAGGTTAGAAAGGAGCCATGTGATGTCTCACTTGCATCATTCGGGCGGGGGAAATGTACTAATTGAACTCATCCATACGTAGATAATTTACTGTACAACAGTCGCGTTTCATATTTCAAACGTTCAATTTTTGGACAAGCAATTAGGTCAGACAGAAACTAACTGATTAGCACAACCAAATATTCAAAAGAAAAACCTCTGGTTTAGCCATCTGACGAATTGTGAAGTCAATCGGACCTGTGGAAAATTTTCAGTTGTGAAGTGAGACGAATCTATACTGAAAAAAGAAGGAGGACTGTACAGCTGTTTCATCACCCTTATTGAGAATAATTAGCGTTGGGCTTCTCAAGAAATTTAATCAGTTTCCGAATCTGTGTCCTAACTAGTGGTTCGATCAGTTAACCGACCACGTGACCGACAGATTGTTGAATAAAGCCCTTTAGATGAACGATTCTTGTGAGTTGAATTTGGAGTTGTAGGTTGAATTGTGGGTTAACCAACGGGAATTATTTTGTGTCGGTTAGGAAACTGCGGCTGAATCAGTTATCAGGCTCACCGAAATCCGTAATTCACATACCGAAGGCAAAATATTTCATGTCACTTGGGCGCATTTTTCAGTTAGCTGTTTGGACGGTGTTAATGTGCCCAACTGACAGCTGATTGTAAGCAAGGCTAGGAAGAATAACATATTTCTGTCAGTTGCTTGGCCAAAAAATGTCATACCGATTAGGGACAGAAAGACCGGACCGCTATAGGCCTTGCCAAACGTCCGTCTGTCGACTGAGTTGGCTAACCGTTCGCGCTCTTACCGCCGTCTGAGCATTTTAATGTCCTGTCCAATTAAGACATCATACTTCATCGAGGCACGCGAAATCAATTATCGGACTGGCGGTAATCAGATAATTTCTTAGCCAAACCTATGTGTCTAGAATTGAGACGGGTCCTCTCTGATCTGTGTGCTCAACCCCGTTGCCCTATGTCGGTAGCCACCTAACACCTGAGGAATGGCCTCAAAATCTATATTTGAGGGTGAAACACAGCTGCGCTATCATCAAGGACATGATCTACTTCCCGCACAGTTCATGAAGTGTATGTTTATCCACAATAAGGATTGGGGTGGTACTAGGTTTGTGGACAAATTTCCGTCTATTATTCGTAACTCGCTTGGCATCAAATCTAAGAAACAGTTGTTGAGGTTCCGGATAGGGGACTATGAGTCACGCGTAGGTCTGATGATCACAAGGTAGAGTTGGGTTAAAATATCTACTGTGATACATACATAAAAATGGGTAAAATGTTACAATAAACCGCGATTTTTTACGCTTGTCGCGTCAAAAAAGGTGCAAGTCTATCACTGATCTGTGCAGTGACGTGAAAGTCCGCACGCCAGACAACGGCGAGCAGAACGTTGATTCGGTAGTGTAGGTGGCCTCGGTCGTGCCTTCCGAGGCCAGTCTAATGATTCAGTTTGGCATTGCGGCACTCGGAACTCACGGCTGAGCAAGTCAGGGCATGCTCACCAGACGGGTAAGTAGGTCAGTTAAGCACAATCACACACATGCTAATATAGCATCGTCGGAAGGGGCTACCCTAAACGCAGGTGAATGGCGAGTGCGAGTCAGCAAATCAAATGGACTTCAAAAGTACATGGGGAGATTAATCAAATAAAGGGGAGAGTTTTCATGTCAAGCTCCTTGATGCAGCGCATACCTACCTGTCTGACGCGTTGGTAATGTCGCTTTTTAATATAACAGTTTAGCTACCATCCCACGGGCATTCAGGTTTTTTGGAACGAAAATTTTGAGTCCTCTGCAAAGTTTGTTAGATGTGCGCCTAACATGACTGTTTGATGGGTCACAAAAATTTGCTGAATACGAAAGGCACAGTCGTATGCCTTCCAATCTTCATTATGAAATGGCAATATCCTGAATTTTGACCGTTTGTATGCTTATCTGGATAGGCCGATATACGTGTTTCTACGACAGTGCAGTACCAATGTTCCCTTTTGTTGTTGATGATTACGGTGATGCAGGTGCATTTATGGATGTTAAACGCTTTGAAAAAAGACACCTGAAAGTCGATTAGCAGTTCATACCTCTGCCTGAGGGAATGTCCTTTGAATGCCATCGTTTGGGTACCACTAAAGCATAGCATGTGACCAGTTGCTTATCATCACTCACGCAGAGGTTTACATCACAGATGACCTTAAGTCCTGATTCGCGCTCTTAATCTTCCTGCTCCCCGTCCAATCAAATTGGAACATGCGAAGCCGATTGTCAGTTTGCGGCGAACCTCCGCGACTCTGATCGCTGCTCACACTCGTTGAAACTGTCAGCTCGGAGAAGCTAAGTTTTTAAACGTATGTACAACGCATTGGTAACTGCAACACAAAATTAGCGTTCCTACTCTCATTTTGTCTCAATCATCGAAGACATACTCAGGCTGTTGCTATCACAAGATTTACGATTATTTTGATCAGAGGTGCAAATGGAATTCTTATACTCCAAAAATGTTAGCTGAGGGCAGTGGAGAAGCACCTAGTACATGAATCCTTGGGGACAAGTTTAGCCATTTGTCGTCCCATATTGAATCCACAAGACCAAACCGGTAAAAAAATGGTAAATTTGGTTGTTTGTCTGAAACTGTATTCCCAAACTTTCATATGGGGAGAAGCTAAATGTCATGGTTAATCTATTCGGCGGACACTTCAGGCGACAAATGTTCCCTTGTTTCTAAATACCAAATTTGCTCCCTAACATGGACCACAAAAAACCTGATTCCACAGAGTAGATGCTTTATTGCTTATTGCTGCGAATTCCAACAAAATCATGTGTAACATGCCGATTTGAACGATCCTCTTTTACGCAAACTTGACCCCCAAACTAAAGTTGCACTTTCAGATCAGTTTGAAGCCATCTTTTAGGATTTTTCGAAAATATAGCTTGGGAACGGGTTATTTTTCTGATTCCAAGGGATCACTTGTCGATCAGATCTTACTTGAGGGCTTGGTGTTTGGCTGAAACAACATGCATTCCCCTCCGTTCCGCTGGATAGTTAAGAAGTCCTCGTTATTCCATTATTTACACACTAGTTCGCGGTTAGGATGTCAAGAAAACTGGAAGATTTCCAACACCCGAAGATCCTAGCACTAAGAGTGCAAGTGACTTTGGTTTACAGATGTGCTACTCACCAAATATGGGCAGTAAGGTGCCACAGTCCGCGTGAGGAGAAATGCATCACATACTCGCTGCTGGTTCAGAGAATAAAAACACAGTATCCAAGGTTATAACGAAGTCTCTGTTGGTGTTAGGTTAGATGATATACTGATTGCTGAACTCAGGAGTTTCATGCTGGGTGCCTTTCTGCCAGGTAGGGTTACATTAACGATGCCTAGGGGGTGTAGATCAACCTTCAAAAGTCGGTTTTAGATCCATCTATACTTTCCGTGACTCCAACGATGTGTTGAAACAGTCCCGGTCGTGTGGTTTTTTACAACCGGATCCCAGCGGCCATGTTGTTTAGTCAGACTGAGAAGCGGAAACTGGTAACCATCAAAATGCCACGCATTATTCCAGACTGACGTGGCAGTGTAGGTTCTAATCTCAACCGATCTTTGGAGTGGAAACTCAACTGAACCAAGGCTGGGGAGGGAAATCAACCAAGACACCATAGCACATCGAAAGTCCAAACAGCGGGAGCGCGAAGAAAAACAATGGCAGGATTGTGAACGCGTTTACTCGAATATAACAATGTGTTCTGTTTATTCAACTTCCCAACTTTTGATCTATCCCTGTGACATGAAGCACAGTGCGCTGGTATTGGGACAGCTGGCTATACACCCTGTTGGTCATCCCACAAACACCTCCGCCAAACCTCACTGTTCTGCCACATCGTCAGACATGTCCTGCTGGTTCTGGGCGACGTGGTATGATGGTAAACCAAACGATACTTAATGGGCCAATATCAAACCGACTGCAAAACATCCCAGTTCAACAATCGCCTTTTGTAAATCCATGGTAGTCTAAAGTGGATTGGCGCAATTGGTTTTCGCACTTTTTCCCTTCTTACGTCAACACCAATTTGGTATCCCTCACATAGACCACAAATAGTGTTGTACCAGCAGTCGCTGAATTTTCCTCTCCCCACCAACCCACGCCCATTTTGGATTCAGTTAATATACTTAATTGAGCGCTCGAGAACCAAGATGCCTATTGACTTTCCTCATCAGCGGATTAAACCGAGTGAACTATGGATAGACGGGGGTTAGTAGTATCACATTTTACACACGGTGTTGTCAGAAATGAGCAAGCTGGCATGATAGCACGATTCGTACACAAGGCGAAGACAACCGTAAAGAAGTAGAAACCAGCTATTTATTAATAACCGAACTTTTGGTGATTTAGTGTTTTTACCGGTCGATCATATGTGTTACATACATGTGCATTGATCCACTCAGTCCAAACGTCTCAGCCTCAACAGTGCGCCAATACTCTAATCGATGAAACTTTCTTGGTGAACGCTGCTCAGGGCGATCAATGACTCTGTAATAGACAGGAGGATATCCACATGCGACTCAAATGTCAGTGTAAGCAATAATGTCAATTAGTCGAAATATGGGTTACTCAGGTGTGTTTACTGGTGGTTGACCAGATGGCAATTGATCTGTTTGCTGAGTTTGGCAGTTGGCTTGCAGCCCTTTCGTCCCAGTCGAGGAGACATCGTCATTGAGCAGTTGAATGAGTGCTTCCTCTGTGCCCAGCTGCGTTTACATAGTTTTTGAAGAGTATTTGATATCATGTCATGTGATTGGCTAGTTAATATATATCTTATGTTGCATTATTATTGCACCGACCGTGATTTTTGCTGCGTCGTGGTCTGTATGCCCTCATCCCACTGGTTTGTTGGATGGCTGCTTTAGGGTGCTTCAGGTCTGCTTGCAATTGGTCAGTTCCCGGTTAGTGTTGTGTTCTTCCTTCTTTGAATCTGGTTGGTTGTGACGGCGGCTTCTATTTTTGGTAGTTTCCCTGTCTCAGTCTGATTGTTTGTTTGTTGTTACTTTATCCGCATCTGCGTTCTGTAGTTCCGTAATTCTTTTGTTTGCAGTGGCCGACAGACTGGATGAATTTTGATGTCTTTGTTGATGGCGTTTTCAGTGGAGTGCCATGCTTCTATGATTTCACGTTCTTTCTTAGTTCTTTCTCCGGAAAATAATACGTCTAGAGACAATTCCACGAACGATCATTTTGAAGAAAGGTAGAGGCAGATAGCCAGAGGTTGGACGAAACCCATTTCGAATCCTTTGAGGAGTGATGGAATTTGTAGGGAATGAATAGGAATATGGGGAATATTTGGATATGAAGTTTATAGGAGGAGTGATGGAATTTGTAGGGAATGAATAGGAATATGGGGAATATTTGGATATGGAAGTTTATAGCGACTCTTTACTTGTTGCAATTCCCGCAGCGTTCTACGGTGAGGTACACACTGATTTTCTGAAAATATACCTTGCAAAATGGTGTAACAAAGTCCTTCATTGTCACTTCTCATTGATTTCTTTTAGGTATTCCTAAATGCTGTCGGTGCATGCCGTTACATCAACCCGCCGTAGCTCCACGGCCGCACAGCTTAGAATTTGACACTAAAACGAACAATAACTGGCATTAGACTGGTAAAGCAATCAACAATAATTCATAGTTAGTTATGGTTAAGTAGCCTGGAGATGAGATGGATAAATAGTTCTAAATTTGCAATTTTTGGATTTTGCGGACATGATGGGTAACTTTGCATCTGTTATCTCGAGAAATGAATCATACCGGGTCGAGCTCAAATAAGTATGGATGCATACACGATTGTTTGACTGGTGTACCTTTCGAACATACATAGATTACCGGTTTTCGTTTGTCTATACACAGTGTCCAAGTAAGTAAGAGCATCTCAAGATTGACAGGGAGATATAACTAACAAAGAGCTCGTTGGTTTACGGGGAATGAATGCAAGTCACTGGTCGAACAATCGGTTTTTGTGGGGATAAGACAGCATAAGCTTTGAAAACTATGTGATTCTTTTTGAATTCACAAAGTTCATCAAAGTTCTGCGTCACAGGATGAGATATACTTATGAGGAGATGAAACGTTTCGAAACAGTACAAATTGTAGGAGAAAGCTTCAGAGAGTCTTATGGGGATAAAACTCAACTGAACCATTGATTCCTCAAAAGTACAACCGATTTTACATTGACTTCCATCATAATACTTCATAATCGACGAAAAATAGAGTGAAACCTTCATAGACGAGCAAGCCGTCTGCACGTCTTTGGAAATATCTAGAAAGGAAATGTATCTGATCTACCAATTGGCCCTTCAAAATCACTTACGTGTATTGAAAGTAGCCAGCCCGGATTTCCTTCAAGCAAATCAGAGGTTCAGTTAGGGATAGTCTCTAACAGGTACAGCCTCTGCTATTCTGTGTGAATATATTGGTATTTTTCATTCAACTTGGTCGAGAAAACTTGAGAAATAAGCCGCTCACATGTGCTTATCCGATGAGTAAACAACGTTCTAATACCGTAGCCAGAAGTAAATGAGAGTCTTATTATGCGAATTGGGTAACATGTCAACGGGGCGGGATGGGTGGTTTTCTTTCGGAACATTACTTCCATTGTTCCTGATCAAATATACCCCGTCGTAATAAATTAAATACAGATGATCAAACTTTATGGGCACGACTCACCCAACTATGTCGTAAATTTCGCCTCTAAGTTCTTTTCAAAGATGGAGTTTACTCTCGGCATTTAGTTGTTTACTTTGTTTAACAAGCAAACATCTTCAGGTATGCGCTTTTTGTGCATGAAGCCGTTTGCACTCAGCTGAGAATTCCACTGCAATTTTCGGACTTGTTGTTGCGAATTTGTGAAGACCGCGCGTACTTCGTTTAGTCTCGGTGGCCTAGGATAACACTGGGAGAACGGATGCTATCGCCTCTAATGCGCAGGCCCCTTCAACAGGCATGGTCAAGGAAATACAAGAGGAGCAAATAGTCCAGTGCACAACGGCTAAAACGCTTTTATTTGCTGCGGTTTTCGTCGGCGGTTCTCAGCTTACCGAGTTAACCTGAATGGCTACTTTCTTAGCGAAATAAACGCATCCGCAAACCGATTTGGTTTTGACGAAAGACCTACCTGAGATCCAGTTGAATCCCTCGTTCACGGTATTTTTGGTTTCAAGTAGAACGGAGACTCAGGGACTGGGCCTACCTGATGGGCTGCTTGGAAATCGAAACCGGTTATGTGCTGTCGATGAGTTTTCAGCAACTTTATGCGTAGTGTATTACGTAGATCTCACGTTGAATCCCTCGTTCACGGTATTTTTGGTTTCAAGTAGAACGGAGACTCAGGGACTGGGCCTACCTGATGGGCTGCTTGGAAATCGAAACCGGTTATGTGCTGTCGATGAGTTTTCAGCAACTTTATGCGTAGTGTATTACGTCCATAGATCTCACTTTCTCTTATTTTCTGGCGAGGCCAATCTATGTTGGGAGGCCAAGAAACACTGTACAGATGTTTATTGCGATTGATCAACAGGTTCGTGAACTAGCATTGGTTTAAGCTACTGGACAGCTGTTTGTTTACCTTTTGACATTTGAATGATGTTAATTTATTCGAGTCAGTCAAGTGCCTTTACGGGGTTTAACAACATTGAAATCATACAAAACGTTGTGGGACAAGACACTTTGGAACTTGTCGATGTCACAGTAAACATCCGCTTGCACCCTTCAGTCGATAGGTCATCTAGCTTGGGTTGGTCTCCTATCAGGAACCGCAAAACAAGCGCTTGAAATATCGGAAGGTAGTTGATGCCTTTCAAATAGCCTGCTGACCAAAATGAACGATGGCCACGTGGGGTGATAAGCCTTACTGTCTCAGGTTACAACCCGGTTGTGATCCTTTCCAAGGATCCATTCCTTCTGTGGGCGAGAAATCGAGGTGAGGAACGACTAATATGCCCCGTTCAATAAGGTATTTCATTGATTTTAGCAGCCCTGTGCTATTATCCCAACTGAAACAATAGCTTTAAAAAAAACGGAAGCATTCCCCGACACACCAACTGTCTTTTCATTTTCCTCTGGAGTGTCTGAACATTCCTAATAATATTTTTTACTAATATTTAGATGCCCACCGACCCATTCCGGCCCGAGATGTTTACAAGAAAATCTTCCAGAACCATCGTCTGCGGTGCCAATGATTCTGGTGACTCCTTCTCAGGACGCCACCACCGGAGAGGAAGATTTCATATTGGATCAATCTCACATTGGCGCAAACATACGTATGAAGTCGGCGCCGGAAGGAACCGACAAATGCCATCTGCCGGAATTTCAGCATTCCTCTGGTAAGTTTTGTGCGTCACTGGAATAGAACGGACAAATTAAGTCTGCTTGAAAAAACAAAACTTTCTAGTCTCTCTGCCAGTGACCCCACTAGAATAGCAGTCATATTCTTGGATACTGTACCCCCAAACTTCTCTTTCAGCCGTGAAGCAATGCACCATCTCCGTGATTTTATCCCTCTACGAGAAACAAGTACGTAGGCTACCAAAGTTCAGTATAGTTGGCCATAGTTGAGTCATCTAGTTACCCATCTCCATGAGCAGAAGCACACATGGAAAAAGGCTGCCTCGATTAATGATATGGATGAACAAAACGAGGCTATTTTGTGCATTCCTCCCACAAATGTGTGCCACCCGAGTTGGCCTGTATCATTCGCCTGGCGAGAAGGATTGCTTTATTGGGTGTGAGACCTGGATTCTTTTGGAATGAAAAAACACTCGCGCCAGAATATAAATTTTGCTTCTTGAATCCAGCAGAGACAATAACGTTTCAGAAGCTTTAGGACGCACGTGGGCTCAAAATTAAACTTCCAAACAAGTTGATGTACCTATCAGATTCTCAGGAATAGGCCGGTCACATGAGTCCGATCGGGGTAAAACCGGTAGTGGGCTGTCTGTTGATACTGATCAGTCGTCTCACTCTAGTCATATCAGACAACCTCGAGATGCAATTGCGATGCTGCATGCGTGCTATATCTTATGCGAAGGAACTTCTCTGTTGCAGGAAGACTAAGATTCATTTAAGCGCTCCAACCCGAACACTGCATTGTTTGATATTCAGGTTGGCGGAAAACTAAAACACATGCACCGATTTGCGGCTTGTTTTGTTCTCAGTAAATGTTGAATCAGATAGTGACAGAGTAAGACTGAAGTTGTTTGATGCCTGGTGAATGTTTATACTGGACTTACCTTTCTCTCGCACTAAAACTGGGGAGTTTTCAAGGTCCCGTAACCGCTTTTTTACTTGTATAACATGCTGCATGACCGACGCTTCATCCAGAAGCAAGGGCAGGCTCAGACTTATTATTGAGTTGCCGACGATTGAAGACAGTGTAGTAGTAACCCTCTATTATCAGATATTTTATGGATCAGATATTTTATGGCATAATATTTTAAAGGACTCAGTCGATCATCGCCGCGCAACAAGCCATTTGTAGGTTTTTGGTCATCAAGCACTGGGCACCAAAGAATCGTTCAATCACATTCGCAGTCTCGCGAATCATTCATCATAGGAAATTCTTTTTTGACAACAAGACTGGGATATCAGCTGTGTCAACAGCATTTTTTTCCCGGACTAAACAAGGTCTCGCTCACTCACACCTCTTGCTCCATACAAAAGTGACAGACTACGATTAGTGTACGCACAGCTATAGTACAACAATAATCTCGGAATTTTACAAGATGATCATGATATTTGTACAAGGCTGACGACCCAGTTCATGGTGTCTGACATCATATGGCAGTTGGTCTTTTCAGGATATCGTTTGCATTCCAGGATACAAATAGTGTGATGCAAATGAGAATTCCCACTACGCTATCGACAGCATTTACTGTTCTAACAATTTCATTTTGGACAAAAACGTACTTTGTTCTACAAAATTAATTACCTTAAATTGAAACGACCGTGAGCATCTGGAAATTTTTAAGCACAGCAGTTTCTGTATGTTGGAAAAATATTGTATGGTTTCACTTCAGAAAGCCCAATGTGGTATACATATATCACTTATAAAGCGACAGTTAGCCTCCTTGTGTTGGGTCGTTCGAATTAAACTGTTGATTTTCCTTCTGCTTACACGAAACATGCATTCTTAACTGCATGTGAGGAAACCAGAAAGATTTTGTCACCCAGCAATAGGCATCTTTTATCTACACTCACGAAATGCATCTACTGGACTCCATGATATAACAGTCTATTAACCTCATCAGATATTTCCGTAAATTCCGATTACTAAATAATTGGAACAAACAAATTATCATGTGCTTTCCAAAAAACGGGAAGTAATGGCGAACTACGTGTCTTATCGGGTGTTACGTTATCGTTGTATACAAAGAAACAGTAGTAAAAAAGTTTGAAGTTCGCTGTGAAACGCGGAAGAAACACCAAGTGTTTTGCCAGAGGATTCACTTAAGGCACAACGCAGCCAATTTAAGTTTTTTGAATGTAAATGCTAGCTCAAAAGTACATAGCTTGGTGGGCTCGTATGAAAAGGATAGTGTGTTAAGTTGAACGTTCAAGACAGTGGAAGGTTGAGGGCTAGTCCGGAAACAAAGGTCTGACCGCTGGTTAAAAAAACATGTTGCACAAGTAGCAAGAAAATTGAACTAATGGAATCACCTTTTATGATCTAACTGGAGATTCTCTTGTTGCACTTCTACATTATCATTTCAAAGGAATTAAGTTATCTTGAGCCGCCTGGCTTGTAAAGACAGATAAGCCTAGCGTTTCTGGAAACTTTCGTAGAAAGGCCAGTTTTCCTGTGCGGGTTAGAAACGTCAGCACGGAGAGTGATTAGAACGGTTCCACATTATCTCAAATCGACTACTGATAACTTGGAATGTTTCACTCCACATTTTTTGTAGTTTGAGCTGAACTTGTTCTGTGCGCTTACCGCCAAGCCGAACAGAGACAGGATCGTTCTCATCGTTCTCATACATTGCAAACAAATTTGTGGCTCCCATGGTTAGTAGTCTGGAGAATCTGTCGTGGTTCTGGCGGTGGCCAATGGATATTTACCACAAAGTGACACCTACAAATTAGGATTATACAAATACGCCCCTACGAGTCATGATGAAGGTGATATACTTGAAATCGTATCCAAATGCATTACTTCGCATCACTAAACACCAAGTTTCACCTTATGACAAGTAATTTCTTGATCTTGAAAGGAGGTGCTTACCACAATGTGTTCGCTTTTTCTTCCCAAGCCATGTGTTTCTACCTAGGCTCTGCGTATGTACATTTGTTCACATTGCCACTTTGGTTCGCCACCTTTTCTCACAGAATGTACACAGATAAACAGTCATTTATATGCATTCGTCGGTGCCGCCGTTGCGTGCTCGTTGGTAATTCTACTTTTGGGCTCGTGCCTCGGCTACATTCGGTAAGTGATCTTCCGCCCCTACCCCAGAATTATGCACACAATTTGGCACTTGAAACGAACTACTATTCTGTTAAAAGTAGCAAAGTACACAACGCAAAATAACTGTTATACAGCTCTTCAAAGATGGCGTTTTAACACGTGGTTGAACGATTGGAATTTCGTCCCGTAACATAGCTCATCTAAGTGAGTTGATGCAGTAAAATTGATTTAAAGTTTCGCAGAGCCAGTGCTCAAAATTGACGTTCGGCCAGTCATATGAGTTGAGTTTCGTAACAAAACTCACAAATTTCCCCCACACATAGTGCAAGAGTTTCGATTTACAATGTATACAACAGAAATATTACTTCTAGCTATCGCTGCACAATCAGTTAAAAGCCTATTTTCTAAGGTTGTCCCACACGTTCGCCATAGACACACTGAGTCCAAAGTTCTCCAAACGTTTCCGTTAGGGGAAGTATTTTGTATAGACATCAATTCGATTCATGCTCAATAGCTTTCCACCGAGAAAATGCGCTGGTGCATGTCCACATCTAGCTGAGTAGCCTAGTTGTTACCCGTAATCCTTAGATACGTTCAACATGCATGAATTTCTTACTATAAGGCAGTAACAGTGAGGGCTTTTACTTCAGTCAGTCATGGAGCGAAGTGAACAAACAAACTGGCTTACACGGACTGGAGTAGCTGTAGAGTGATAGAAAACACAGTCGGTCGATTATTAAAACAACTCTTCTCTGTGCGGTACAGATGAAACGTTTGTATTGCGTTATTGTTGAATCGCTGTGATGATATATATATATATATATGCATATATATATATATATATGAATTACTATCAAGTACTTTGCTGTGGACATTCAAACACACATGCGAATGAAAGCAATTTGTCAAAACATTGACCCAGTCCGAAATGAACACTACCACTTACGCAACCTTTTATTTTGCAGTCGAAGGAAACTTTTGGGTCATCGGATGTCTGCCGTTGAGACGAAAAGGGCATCTGGATATTCCGTAAGTAAATTGCACCATGATAAAATCTTTCAAAAAACCTTGAGTTCGTCAAATTGTTTCGTCAGTTTTCCCATTTATTTTACGAATATCTATGGTTAAATAAGAACAGACATGCTTAGATTTTTGACAAATGTAATCGCCGGCTGGATGTGGAATGAGTAACACGCTGCAACAATTATGTACTCTAATCACTCTCCCTCAATCCAAGAGAGGAAAAACCGTTACCTTGAGGGCCATAATCTAGGTTAGTCCACTAAAAGCCAACCAATTGTGGTAACCTAACACAGCGCTTCGTACAATCTAGCGTTTGATATCGATAAGTCAGGATGTGTGTGCTTCCAAGTACATATATATATATATATATATATATATATATACCTGGAATCCTACCTGTGGGAATGAACCTGAGAAAAAATGTCAGAGATACGAAGGTCGATGAGTAACCAATTCCTTGCATAATTTGAGTGGTTGGTACAATGACAGATCTGGGCTCTCTTAGCAACTTTGGGAGTTTAACAGCGAACAAAAAACTGATTTATGCGACCCAGCTGTCGGGCTCCGACAGGTGTTCTTTGTTCAAATGAAGCTTGATAGCTCTGCTAACCGAATGTTTAACTGCCCCAACACCATTAGCAAGCAACAAAACGGGCGTTGTGCCTAGATAAACTATATGGTGAAGAGAACGGCGTGTGCTCGGTGATATGAATCCTAGACCTTTTGCAATATACAAATTTATACATATTAGTGATTCAAAGGAATACCAGGGGTTATAAAGCGCAACAAAGGCGAAAACTAAGCACGACTATTCTTAAATTCTGACAAAGTTTGCCATTGGTGAGATGCACGGGCGTTGCGGCGAGTTGCATTTCTCTAGATCTTTAAAGGACATACGAATGTAGCGGTGGGCGTAGGAACAGCCATATGTTTCGTCATGTGACCTTGGCACAGCCATTGGATATACACTGCTGACGTGCTCTAATAAGAGCGAAACTCGAGTCCACTGCTTATCCCCCTTGGAGTGGACTCACCAGAATGATTACGCCAGAACAGGAGGAAGGCCGTTTAAACGAAAATGACGTGAATATACAGTGTGCTATTGTTAAGCCGGACCACGTTCTCCAATATGGTACATCTAAGATTGCCTAACTTCTATTACACCGGTTGCGGGGCACTCTAATCTTTCTAATTGATGAACTCAATAAACTGACCAAAGATGCTGACCCTGGTCACACACTTCGGGCTTGCGATAGAGTGGGACACTGAAGTTACCACGAATTATCAGGGGCCAGCCCAGTAACTTATACGAATACGCATCACTTCACTGCTCACCGAACGCAGTGAGCATCTAGAGAATCTGAGTTAGACCGTTCCGTCTGTTCGCTTGATTCCAAATGACTGTATGTAGTTTTTGTTGGTGATCACAACACTTGTGCTAATGACGTCTTAAAGATCGCACGCTTCGCGGACATCGGTAATTATCTCTGGTACTCGTCTTCCGGTTTAGAAACTAGAACCGACCAAATACATAAAATACAACAGGTTTCCCACAGCGTCACGCTTTCTAGGTCTGTTCGTCACTGAACTGTTGGAATACTTTGTAATGTACCATTCAGAAGGTTGCTAAAAATCCATCGACATCCCACGACCGGTTTCGCCTTTCCTGGGGCTTATTAGGTGGGCACCATCCCCGAGTTTCCTTCAATCTTATGTTCCACTTGAAACCAAATTGCATGAAATTAGTGAATATACACTGATTTGCAAACTAATTTGGTTTTTCGAGAGACTCACCTGGAACCCAGCTGAATCTCTCGTTTGTGATGTTCTCAGGAATACTTGTTTCAACGGTGTAACATTCACCTAAGGTATCAAGGTGAGATAGTTTTTGTTGTTTCTCATTTCTGAAGTGCCATTTATGAACACAACTCAGATCTTTACCAGGTAGAGGTTTCTGAGTCTAGCCGAGATATCAGCAATCAGTAATATTTCGCTGAGGTTTAGCTGTTTGATGGGTAAGCATCAGCTGTCGAAGATACACGCAACGGTCTAACTACTTGTTTCTGTGGAGCAGTTTTGGTTGTATAGTTATTTTCACTTTGATTTGATTTAAGGGTGGTATCTAAATCGAAGTTGTGCTGATGAACATCCAGTTGATGCGACAAGCCCCCGTCATTCGATTGGTTTGTCTCCTTGTGTCACATGATATTTGATGACACTAGGAACGTTGTGAAGCTCATTTGCCTAAATGTTGGTATTTCGAACAAAGTTAAATTTTAGTCAGTCAGCTTTGAACTCCGTCCAGCAGTTGAAATTTTACGGGGACGGTTTCTGCTATACTAAAATTTGCATCTGTCCATTCCAGCATCTAGTGTCTGGGTAGTTACGTAAGCCAATAAAACGTTTGTCTTTCTGTCTTCAAAATTTAGGAGGACCATCCTTGTTTCACCGAAAAAACTGGAGCGTCATTACGATACGAGAGTAACTTGGAAAGCCAAGAATCGCCAGTATTTTGTAGAACATACATATCAAGTAGCCCCACCATACACACGCCAGAAAAGCCCACGCAATGTGTTACCCCTCAGCTGACGAATCCTGAGAATACAGATACTCAGATTTTCGAACATCCTCCGAACATCGGTTTGAATCCAGGGACCTTCGTCGTGCTCACCTCAACTGCCCCGCTGAACCTGCATTCAATTAACAGTTTGGTGCTCCCGAGTACAGTCACACAACAAGAGATTCCGGCTACTTGCCGTCCGCAGTTGCCCACAACTATTCTTGGCGAAGAACCCCTGAAAATGGACGAAAACGGGGTGGAGTATATTCCTTTTGCACACACGCCATTATACTCCGCTCATCAAGATACGATGAACAAAAAAGTAAGTAGTACTGCGTAGTTGGATAAAGCAGTGACACGCCATAGATTTAACGTAAATTCCGTTGAAAATGGCGCCATTAGTTCAGCTTTGCCTACGCTACGTTTTTGAAGAAATTGTTGGAACTGTATACGGAGAAAAACCTGGACCGGTTAAGTGACAAGCACGCAAATCCTTTTGGGTAGAAATCGCCGCTCAAAGGTACGATATTCTCCCCTAAAGAGGAAGACCGAGAGAGATCAGGTTCGAGGAAAAATGGTATACGTGAATAGTACAAACGATGCAAGTTTTTATGCCGCGTAGCTAGCCCTGAGATTGCAGTTTTTATGTGAGTGTGCCGTGGCACAATCACCGACCCATCGCTATGCTCCTCTATGCTCTCCAACAGCGCACTGATGATGTCACCTCGACTGGTGTTGAAACGTTTGCAATCAAATTACTCAGCTCGGCGAACAACCCAACGATCATGAAAAATCATATTAGGTAGACTGGAGCACCAGGTAGCGAATTCTGATCCTAAAGTAAGTCACATTTATCGGAAGCCTTTTAACAAAGGAAACGTGGTCTCTGAGCTATTTTCATACAACATCACCGGTCCACAGGGTCGAAACAGTGACTAGCACCCATTTTTGATCTTTCTCTTCAATGGTGCAACTCCCGCCGCTGAAGCCAGCCTACGTAAAAAGTTTGGAGTGTATATTATCTATCCACTTTCACGTTTTGCGTTCGCAAAATAATTGCTACTGAATTCTACTCAGGTAACTGGCGGCAGAACATCCAAGAGTGCCTTTCACTTTCTTGGTTGTGTTGCTAGTAATTATGAATTTAGCGTAAAAGCTTCCACATGCCGATATGGTGTTAGAGAAATCAGGCCAGTTTCCTGAGTATTCCACTTTCGTCCCCACTGCTCCTTCTAGACTCTCATCGTCAGGTGAATGGATATGTTTAGGTTAGGTGGTAACGAATAAGTAAGCCAAAATCCATGCTTATTTGGTTCGGAGGAAGAAACGTGGATAGGGACGAGGATGGTGTAAAATATTAGAAAGCTGTTGGGCAGCTGGGTCAAACAGTGGGTATAATGATCGGTGTTGACCCGAACCGATTCAACTATCGCACTGCCTAAGCTGTAGCCGGGAAGAACAACCATGTAAAATAGATATCTCCAGAAAAGCTTTGCACATCGTTTTCAAAGCATCATCACGCAGCTGAACCGCGACAAAGTTGTACTAAACCTTCTGTTTTCGGAGCTATCCAAACCAGGATTTCCTTCCACAATTTAAGCCTAGCAACGAAACGTACGACGATTTTTCAAAGTCATGAATGATTCTCTGAGCACCGTGTTGTATTGTTGTTGAGTTTTTCGGCGCCATATGTTGTCCTGCACAGACACGTCAATTTCTAACCCGATGAAACATCTGTTTTAATTAATTTTATGTGGATTGTCGGCAAGTCTTTCTGAGTTGTATCAACTTTTCACACTGGTCACCGTTGGCGTCAACAGATAATCTGAGATTTTGTGTAAAATTAAAGTGAGCCAAATGGAGTAAGGAGAAGCCACAGTGGTTCCATTTCAAGCCAGTAGCACCGAGAGTGATCATGATCTTATCATATAAGTCTGGCTTCGGAAGGGCCGTGTGATGCAACACTTTCAAGTAATTTGAACAATGTGGCAACGTTGTCACTATTACTCGTCGGGGTGTGAGTTGGAGGCCCACGCAAGAAGGCATGCAGGGAAATAGAGTAAATTAGGGAGATAATCCAAAAAATTGTGCACACACAAAACCTGAGTTTTAAATTGCATGATTGCATACATGTAGCCATGTTATACCACACCAAAACCAGCGGCTACCTACGCAAGTATATAATGGACTGGCACCAGTTCCCCGATCGACCATCAAACTATGCTGATCGACCTCACGTCCAAGCGACAATGAAACAAGCAGTTTCTCAGGTAAGCTAGGCGTGAAACCAATCGGGAATTCCGCAACTCGCGTAAACCCGCGAAGCTTAGACCAAAAAGTGAATATGGAGCATAGTTTTAATGCAATCTAACCAATGGGTCGTTACTGCAAAGTAAAGGGGAGACGACGGAATGGTTTCCACCCACGGGTCGATGACATGGTGACCCAAAGCCACGAGGGAAACGCACCCAAGACACATCTAAGGCTGGCCTGTGCGAGCTGTGATGCGTGCAACATAAATTTGAGATAGATGTAAACGTACACTCGGAAATTCAAATCTGGTTAACAAGCAAATTGAGGACTGTATAGGCTTGGACGGAGCACCTCACCAGACCAATGCCAGGACAAGTAACACGCCCACAAAATAGCATGTACAGAAACGTGGAAAGGTTTGCCGATCTCCAGCACCCTAATGTTGACTGATTGTTCTGTCTATCTGTATTTTCTGCTTAACTGCGACCGCAAGATTATACCGAACCAATTGAAGACACATCCACATTCCTTTTTTAGCCTGATGGCGCTGCGGAAACGATGAGTTCTCGCCGGTCAATTGAAATACCCTGTTGCTCGTCTGTGTGTGCCTCAAAACAGCTCTACGTACAGCTACCCGCAATGCCCACCGCCTTGTTTCTTGATGATGCGTGCTCGCTGAGAAAAACGTACCAGCCGAATTTCGACATAAAGACAAAAGACAGAGAAGTTATCGGTGTTAATTCCGGACCTTTTGTTCATACCTCCCCAAAGGCTAGCATCGCGTGTATCATCACTCCAAGTTTGCCCGGTATGCAAGCTTGCACAAAGTGGGATTCTCCGTTGAGCGCAACATCTTCATCCGGTTATGTGGGGCCTGATTGTGTCCCAGTGATCATCCCCGCCACATCTCTGACTTGCCCAAAGAGCCCTGTGAATACATTTCAAACATCCACCACAGTACAAATGGCAAAGTCAAATACATTCCAAACACCAAGCTGATTGCATCACTGACTTTTTTTTCAAAATTTCTGCTTCCTCAGTGAACAAATGTACAGTAAATGCATTATTTTCCACGATTCTCTATTCTTAGCAAGTTCTTTGGGATAATCCCATGAATAAACGTAGGCATCCAAGTTCTTTCAGTGACCCATCTCTACCAAACTGTCTTCACCCGTATGAGGACTAATGGCCCCACTGTCACATAGTTCTCTTTATTTGGCTCGAACAATGAAGGGCAAGTTGCAAAAACGGGCTTCAAAATCCCCTCTGAACACATATAAGAAAGCCGTATGAAGACAGAAGCTTTCAAGACTAGGAAACAAGGAATCGAATGTGCACCCCATGTAGCCACTCTGTGAAAAACGAAACAAAAAGTCGGCGAACCTCTTTAGGTGATGATGAACCCCGATCTTGGTTTGCTTTTATTACATTCAAACCAGTCAAGGTACATAGCATGAGGTCATTAAGTGTGCTTTCGATCAGTAAATGTGGAAAAGTTTTTGTTCAGACACTGTCCTAGTTTTCTACGAGTCTTCGCGCTCAGATGCTTGTGAGAATTTCGTAGCCTAGTCGTTTCTACTAGCCATCTTCTTTCAACTGGGGTGCGGCGATGAAGTCTAATCCAAGCAGTCTATCTTAAAAATGAATGTGTTCAGGGCATGGAAAAAGGAAGTCTTATATTACTCAGGTAGAATAGATTTTAGTAGTACTAAAAGCCCTTCTGAAATAGTTGTTCTGAAAGGACCAACTTAGCCTCAGTCTACGTGTTAACATATTTTTCAGAAGGAATTGCAAAACACCATGGTTTGGAATAAGAACCCTTGGGCTCAGTGGGATGACGATCTTGAGGCCCACTGTAGGTCGAAAATCGAAATCGGTTTTCCTTATGCGTTGTGGAAGCAATCAGCACGCTGAAACAGTTCTGTGTTACACACCCATCAACTGAACATCACGAAATATGGTTTCATTAGAACGGGACTGAAACTATTCCGTTCCTAAATGAAGAGTTTGGAATCATGACTGAACCTTAAGAGTTTCAGGGCAGGCTCGGCTCTGATCTTGTCAAACGTTTGTAAATATATCATGAAGCCGTGGTGTGCTTCTTCAGTTACTTTTACAAACATCTGAACATGGGCCGAATGCAGCGTAATTTGGGTCCGCTGTCGAGTCTTCTGATTGGTTTGTCCGAGAGATCAGTTGTCAATCAGTGATGTCCAGTGTGTGAGTGTGAGGGTGTGTTGTGTGTGTTTCTTCAGTTACTTTTACAAACATCTGAACATGGGCCGAATGCAGCGTAATTTGGGTCCGCTGTCGAGTCTTCTGATTGGTTTGTCCGAGAGATCAGTTGTCAATCAGTGATGTCCAGTGTGTGAGTGTGAGTGTGTGTGTGTGTGTTAACCCTGTATGTGTGTACATGACTGTGCATGCACTTTGACCGAATGAGCTTCCGTTTGTTGTTCTGTTGGTCTGACGCCTCATTGATAACAGTTCCGCTCGACCTCTGACCATAATGCCTTCCCAGGTGTGCACTAAGTCCAAACCAGATAGATGGGGGACAATATGTCAAGAGTTGATGGAAAATATAAAGAAACCGACTGCCGGACTCGTCCTACACCGTAACTTTCATGAAAACAGAAAGTAACTTGAGGGTGAGTTGAGTCTACCGTTAACACCACGCTGAACTGCACTCGGGGCTGGTGGCACTTTGGGAAACGAGACCAACCAACAAAACTCTAGATCGGTCGGATGTATCTGAGTTTTCTTCCCAAGGTGGAAAGCAATTCACTGGACCCAAATGAGTTGAGCAGAATCAGTTCACAGACCGCGAACAACCCACATAACTCTCTTCTAAATAGCACAACTTTTTAAATAAAGTCTCACCCGTTTGAGCTACTACTGAGTTACATCCAAGTAGATCCTCTGTCCGGGTTTGAGAAAGCCGCGTAACTTACTCAGGAAGCAGGGGAAATGGCACATAAACTATCGGATTACTTTTTCCCCGAAGGAAATCATCGTTCAACGCATTTGTACGGAACAGTGCTCTAAACCTGTGAATCAAAGCTTGTGCGTTCCAAGAGGAACGGTGAACAGTCGGAGAATCATATTGTCAGACTTGAAATTGCACTGCACGAGTAGTGATGATCCTACCTGTTTGTATCCAAGTGCTTCACCGACTAGCTTGATGTTCGGTGCAGACAATGTCATCCTGGGCTGCACGGCAGGATGCGAACTTAGCCATGTTGATTGCATGTTTTGCATTGACAGATCCTTTTTGGGGTGCGGGGACAACAGAACAAATTCAAAACAAGATAGCCAAAGCCTGTCACGAATGCGTCTTGTCATTATCCAGATCCGTTCGGCATAATGATTTGCTATCCATTTGTGGACTCAACCCGGAAAACGTATTATCTCCTGATTTTATCATTTCATGCACACTGAACCTAATCTAATCTATCAGGTAACCATGCGCGTATTCCAACGTGATGATTCACTCGCTTGTGTGCCTGCACGTGGATTCCGCTAGTCCATAAGACCGGCTTTATCGATCTATCGATCGATCAAAGCAGTCACGCGGGCTCATCAAGAGCCTAGTCAGACTTGCGGCTAATACAACTGCATTGTCATTTGCCTGGTCCCCATGGAAGTTGTAAACATCAGGATTACATCATCGCACGCGGTTAACTCATCTTGAACAGTGTTGTTCTCTATGTACAGGCGAACACAGCAGTTCGCTGGGTATTTCGAGGTATGTTTCCCATTCCTAGCCAATCTAATAGTCAAGATATTTCGTTCACGGGGTAAAGTCCCATATGATCTTGGGTCTTGCCTAATTGGTAATGATTTTTGCACACATTTATGATAATCCTGGCATGTGTTTGAATTTTTATTTCATGTCTCTGCACAGATAGCGAAAACTTACAGTCCGTTATACTGGTAGTGAAAGTGAGAAGATTCTCACAGCGGAGTTGTTCATTAGAGAAACGCCAGATGAACAGTTACAGACTATTGGACAGGGAAGCAAAACTCTCATATGCATTTTATTTACAAAACTGAATATCCATCTTTTTCTTGAACGCGTTTTCCTGAACTTTCCTGGATATTCACTGACTGCTACTCATATACAAGCTAACGCTACAAAGCGACTCCAAAAATTCCCTAATAGATCTCACTTTTCAAGAGACGCGGAGCGGATTTAGGAGTAAACCTACTACTCGCATGCTCCCATCAGTAGTATCCACTGTTACTGTGGGAGCCATCACGAAGCGATTACAAAGAATTCATTAGTCTGTTAGTCTCACATTGTTTTGCATATTGCAACGAAATGCGAATAATAACTGGAGAACCTCACAGCAAAATTTGCTCTGTTTTATGCTGCACAACTGTTCTTAAGCTACCCCGCTCGTGACTTCTCGAATCGTCGCAGTTTAAACAGGGAATTTGTGAAAAAGCCACTGTCATGCCGAAAATATACACTTTGAGGTATTTTAAGGGATTGGGGAGGTTAGCTATGGTTTTGAAGACTGACTTGGGATACAAATGGTGATGGTCTGCGGATAATACGAGTACGTTCAGTGATTGAATACCGCATTCTTTTGTTACTGGCGTGCAACACACGGTAAAGACTCAAGTACAGATGGTGGACTGTGTTTTTGAATGCGGTGTTGTCACAGGCGCTGCGCGCGAGAACGTACAGACTTACGCAGAAGCCGTGGGATCTCAAAAACACACAGAGATTTCTTGAAACCTCAACATATGACTGAGTTGAAACAACCTATTATCAGATTATGGTGATTTTTTATCCGAAAGTTGAACGGTGAACCATTTAACCGTATTCAGTTTTTATGACGGATCTACTTGAAGGCTTCACTCTTGTTCGAGCCCACCTATAATGCACAGCTTTTGTCTTGGATGAATTTAAATACCAAACGACTGATGTGAGGAACGGCATTTCATTTGGCGCAGGCTGGACGTATTTGAACAGATAAACATGCTAACGCTTGGAGGATACGACTGGTTAGTGCAACACTCGAGAAGTGGCTCTTCAACCGTTCTGGTGTCCTCACTGGTTTATTGGACACTCCAACCTTTCGGTTTGCGCCAAGGATACATGAAACCTGAAGGATTCTTTCTGTCTCGAGTCCATCCAGAACCTAACTAAACTGCAAACTATTTCCGACCCAGCTGATCCTCACATGGAGTGTCATTTCTGAAGTTAAAAACATTCTGAGATGTGGATTTCTTGTAGAGATTCTAGTACTCTTCAGATACGTCAGAATCAGCCCCCGCTTGAATGTAACTAGAATGGAATGTAGGCAGCGAGGAGCATTAGGCCCTTCGGTCAGATGACTGACATTCAAACGGCCCAGCGAAGTTTGCTTGTGTAGTAGGAAGAGGTTGGGGAGGGACATCGGTGGACGCTGAACTGCGCGGGCAAATGATACTTCCCGGTTGCCCAGGTCGAGGAAGGGTGTTTGGTTGAGGTACCCCACCCTGAGCCTCTGACACAAAAGTATGACCCACGAGGCAGTGGGAGAATATGAGGTTTTGTTCGGGGACCCTGACCCTAACCTCTGACTCAAAAGTGTGACCCACGAGGCAGTAGGAGAATGTAGGATTTTTTCTGGGGACTCTGCCCGGAGCCGATTACTCGACAGTCTGACCTGCTCGGCTGCAGGAGGTTGGCTTAACCCGAGGGCGCAGGGAGTGGGGCATTACTGTCTCATTCCTGATGCGGCTGGTCACAGCCGGCGCCTTTGAGCAGCACCGGGCACTTTTTTGTTTTCCAAAGCTTTTCGACCGTATTGGATAATGCGCCGGCGGTCACGGTCAACCGTTGGGCGATCGGAGTTTTCGGTTTTGAGGCCGACCTTTTCAAACCCGTCCTTCCTCGGGGGAAGGCAGCATCGCTGCTTCCATAAATATGGACATGCTGGTCGCCTGGGGGAAACACCTTACTACCTTCACACTCCCGTCGCAGAGGACCCTACGACTTTACCCCCAGACCGCCTCGTAGCACGATTACTCGTGGTACGGGGTCTCGCTGCTCTTGGTCTGGCTGCTTCCTTTGGTCTTCCTGGCATGTGGAACAAATTTCCAGCCAGTGTAGCCCGCGGGATCATTGCAGAATTCAAGCCCGATCACCACGTCAAGGTGGCAGCTTTAGGTCGGGCTTGCATATAACTAACCAAAAATGATTAATTAACTGAGATAATCTTAAAGTCCAACTGTCCCGTACCATAAACGTGGCAATCATACTGACTTGAATATGGTATAAACAGATGAAGTCGCAAATAAAAGTCACTTTGAAATGCTCATCAGCTTCATGAAAAAATTGTTGAACAGTACATTTTCGATGCAGGCATGCTGATTTCGACCGAAATTCCCACAACCAATGAACACTTTTTTGACTTTGCACGTAAACAAGCTCGTCTCTCTAGCTCACTGTACTCCAAAGAAAGCAAGCGGTTTTGCCAAAATAGAAACTGTGGTTTTATTAGGCTAGTTGTTTGCTTGGCTTCAGTATTGAGATGGAACAAAGAGCACCGGGACTGCGTAATTTTATCCGCTCGTTTGTTGTCAGTAGTCGTTGACAGAAAAATTTACGGCCAGTTATTATCCTCTACCCTGATTGAACACAACGAACTAGTGTTTCTCAAAGCCTGTGTAGAATACCGGCCTGGTTGCTAAATACAAGACGCAAACTTATAACTCCCAGAAGAATTTGCAACGCCAAACTGTCAACATTTTACTCAATGTGTTAAAACCATTTCTGACCAAACGTGATTCCTCAGCGGTAAAAGAACTCAACAAAACAAAACTTCAACAGAGTGAAAGGACGATCTATTTTTTGTACGATTTTGCTAAAACGAGTGCTATAAGTGTTTCTGTCTTCTAGTTATGCTTGCCTGAATGTGAGTGTATCTGTTATTCGTTTACTAGACTCAGGGTAGGCGCGAGCGATTACAGCTTGGAGATTCGAGTGCTTGTTCAATGTGCTACAGTCCAGTTTTGCTGCAGCAAAATATTGTTTCATGTGAGCCCGTACAAAATCCTCTCCGGAGCTTTTGTTCGAAGTGGAGTGAGGTTTCTTTCGCGGAGACTTTGAAGGAGGTGTAATCTAACAACGAATAAAACAAGGAAGACTTAGTCAACATTAATGAATCGTTGAACGAATGAGATATGAAAAGAATGTTATCTGAGTAATACTCAACTATAGAACCATCCGTGGCAATTCAGGATTTTTTTCCAAATCAGTGAGATGTCATCCAACCGACGCGTTTTCATCATCCTCTAAGATTTATTACCGGTGTAACGATTGATACTACTGATGGGGCATACAAGTGGTATGTGGTTTACACGTAACTCCGCCTTGATCTAATGGAAGATGAGATTTATTACGGAGTCTGTGGAACTGCTTTGTAGCATTTGCTCAAAATTGCGCGATACTCAATGAATACTCAGGTAAGTTTGAGAAAACGAGCTCAAGAAGAATACGGATATTCTGTTGTTTTTTTAAATGAGAGTATGATTTTCGCTTCCAATATTCTGTAACTGTTTAGTTGGGGTCTTCTAACAAACGACTCCACGACAAAGAGCTTTCATCCTTTCACCGGTAGATAAAGATTAGTTAAGTGAGTTCTGAGATGTGCAATGGATGCTGTTTCTCCACATGTCTGGCATAATTCCTGCCACCAACAAGGTGAATACCCTGGTGAAAAGATCAGTAGGAAATTCGTTGGCTTGGTAAGAACGTACAGCCCGGAAGAAAGGCTAGGAAGGCACTTAAAAAGGCACCAAAACTGGAGGTAATTATCCCTTGAAAGTCGAGCGACCTATCACTGTCGTGAGTAGGGACATCTCGTCATGAGAAAACTGATTGTCGCCCGCGGAGCATCCTTCGACGTTTTATACTGCTCGTTCAGTGGAAAAGTGTATAGCTCCTTGACCAGTCCTATGACACTTCGCAGTTTAAAGCTGTTGGAATCGACGCAAGGGGACAGATATCCTCGATGTTAACGACACCATGTGAAGGTCACAGTCTTGCTCAACCTCAAGCCATCCATCTTTCGTGACACACCATCTTATTCTGTTTGATACCCATACTTGTACTCACAGATAATCCATGGATGTTAGTGACGATGAAAATTTAAAAAACTGGCGGGTAATATGTACTGGTCACATTCAACAATCGTAAAGCACCATTTGAGTAGACGTTAACAACGAGCTGTTTAATACACTGTGGTGGCCTCAAACATTCATAGTTCCGTGTTGGTTATCGGCGGTTTAGTTTGATCTCTCCCTTAGTCTCCTAACTCTTAAGAGTAGCACTTTAAACCCCATCGCCAACGAGGTCCTCCAAACCCCACTGATACTGCGCTGTGGCCCAGTACCAGTGTAGGAGCGCCCGAACTACATCAGGATCCCGTCACGGAGGTGACACGTCTGTCTTCTAAAAGATCGCTAAATAACAAAGTGAGCATAGTTAACTTGCATCTGTTCCAAGACGTTTATGGTAAAATACGAGAAATTGCACCCCAGTGACGTAGCAGCGCCTCTCATTTGTTACCCCCCGAAGTACCTCGACAACTAATGCCAGCATCCTAAAAGCAATATAACGTCTTACTGATAGCCTATTATAAGTCAAACTTCCCAGGTACCGCGGTATTTGCCAACACAGCTGATTATTACGTCGAAGTTTGAATGTTCAGACTCTCTCTCTCTGGTTGATAATCAATACTTGTAGAGAAGCGAGCACATAACAAACGGTGGGCCTTCGAATTAACTCTATAGTAAGCTAGCAAACAGGTATCATGAGATGTTTGGTTCCGAGGAATTCAACAGTTCGAAAACCCCTGTAATCAGGAATCGGAGACGCCTTCACCATGGAGGCATGGAAAAGAAATAAAAAGATGAGCGGATCTCCTCAAATTCACACAACTAAACCAATCCATCAAGAACGGAAGTTAACTGATGTAAGTCAGGCAGTTGCTGAAACAATCTTGGTGGACGCATTAGCAATCGAGAAAAGGTGGGTCCAGGCATATGCGTTTAGAGAATTTTAGATTGGTTTAAACGTTATCAGAAAAGTTGACAATTGCCCTAGAAAGGGTGAACGGCTGTTTGGGCTAAAGCAATTGACGGTTACTTCTTTCCTCAGCAATTCGCCGTCCAATTACGCCTCCAGAGTTTCATACACACAAGTGTATGGTCTGAAATGCTTCCGGATGGATCTGGTTGACCAAATGCGTTTGACTCACCTTAAGCATGATGGATTTCTGATATCCTGGATCCACATAATTTTTGACGTAAAAGTTGAGCAGTTTTTCTCGCGTCATGCTATTCACATGAGATATCTGTATTGATAGAGCGGAAGTAAATGACCAGGCAGTCATGAAGACGAATTAAATATGCTTTTCAAAGATGCTACTGATTGGGTTAATGAAAATGTCTATTAGAGAGCTTGATATTGGTTAAAAATCCTTTGGAAGTCACTGGGTAAATCTGATCATGAATTTCCATTGATTTTTCTGCATGTATCATCAATTATTTCCCGATGAAATAGCGTCACCGAGGTAGTCTCAAAGGAGCCGTATTATTTTTGTAATGTACTACTCATAAGGTTGCTGAAAATCCGTCGACAGCCAACGACCACATTAGTTTACAAATGAGTGTATATTCGCTAATTTCGTGCAATTTGGGTTCAAGTAAAACACACGTTTGACGGAAACCCGGGGATTGTGCCCGCCTGATGAGCCCCGAAAAGGGTGAAACCGGTTGTGGGCTGTCGACGGATTTTCAGCAACCTTAGGAGTAGTGCATCACAAAAATATATATGTATCGCGATATCTCGAATATCATAGTGACTGAAACATGAGGCGGCCTGGTGCAGCACATTTAGTCTTTCAGTAACGCTTGATATTCATCTGCGTTTCTGGTTGGCCTGTTTTTTCTACTATGCTCTCCGACTCTAATGTGTGGTTCCCTGGCCGTCTGTCATATACAGAGGTTAGTGCAGTCATTACATTTAATTTTGTGGACGCAGTCCCTGTTTAGGTTTGCCGGGAGGCGATCTTTCAATTGCACCAGTGGAGAGCTCAGAATGTTCATCCTCTGGAAAGCTACTCTTATGTTAGCCGTCTTTAGAATTCTTCGAACTACCTCTGATGTCCCTGGTTTATATGGAATAACAGCGGTCCCGGTCCATTCCCTGTTGGGTTTCGCTACCGGTACCAACACCCTTCGCAAATGACGCCTAATCAAGCTGGCTGGATATCCACTACCCCGAAGTTTGTTGTTTACCTCAATTCGGGCCACTGTCCGATCAGCTTCTTCTGTGCACAGGGCCCTTACACGCCTTAACATTGATGAGGCAACACTGGCGAACACCGACTTCGGATGGGCAGACTTGAAGAAAGAATCATTCATTTCCCACATTTTGAGTTTCAAAAAATTGCTGCCAAAGTAGTTGGGTTTCTCTAACCCAAACTGTTAATTGTATCATGTTTCCTCCAGCTTTTGAAAGAAAGCAACTTCAGTTATCCTACTCACTGCACGAATGTACACGGCTATAAGGATATGTGTAACAAAAATCTAACCGTTTTAATGAACGATACACGTCACCAACTTGCGAAATTACACATTCGGCTTTCAGGTTCCGGTGTAAACTCGAATAAATAAGGTCGGTTGACGAACTTGCTGAGGCCTGCTGCAAGTCAACCTGGGCACGATAGTATGCTCCTTTTACCAAAATTATTGTCATATGTACGTCATCTTCAAATAAGATTACAACTCGGCACAATACCGTTTTCGTTCCATTATTGCATGAATCACAACTTGTGCTAGTATTGTTCAGAATTAGATCACCTTTTACAAACTTGATATATACATACATGCGGCTTCCATATTCCCTTCATTCTATCCGTTGATAAAATGTTCTTCCTTAAAACGACATGTCACTGACAGCATGATCACCCATCTTCGCTAACACAGAGATTTCGAACACCATTATCTGTACACAACTAGTTGCGTACGGCTCCTGGAACTTGAAACTACGAAAGAGATTAATTTTGTATCCAAAAATGTTGTATTCTTACAAATGCCTGGACTTACAGGGTGGCTACTTAAACCGTGACATTATTGTAGTCCGTAAAGCTCTGATCTTACCTGGTATGGGAGATATTGGAATAAAAAACCCATATAACTCTCATTTGGAACGGATGGAGTTTCCTCGGCATGCCGATTGCCAACCGTTGGGTAATAAGCAGTGTCTAGTAGGCCTGGTATAAAAATTGGCTATGTACGCCTCAATTACCGAGTGTTTGTGGTGAACTAACCACGGATTGATGAAGCGTAAAAGGTAAGGATTCCGATAAAGGAAAACAATGGAAACTTTCATACCCTATCGAGAAACGGAATAATAGTTTCACACATTTGGGAAATGGGGGATCTGTGCTCTTTGGTAGAACTCGTTCTCCGTCCGGTCATTTGGGAACTTGTGCAATCAGGTTCGGTCAAAATGTGATTTCTACCACTGCGTCCGTGTGTGCACTCGCGGATATACCATGCCACGTAGTTATTTTATTCCTTGACTTTCACATCAGTTTTTAAAGCAAGTCGAGCTTCCTTACAAAATGACCAAGAGGGATATCCCTGCCAGACAGGAATATGTTGGAAAATGCTCTCAGCATAAACTCTCGTCTTAAGCAGGGTCCACAAGTCTCTTCCTTGGAGCATTGTCTCGTAAAAGCGATCATGGTATTTGGTCCTTGACCATGTCTCGATACTGACAGTTGGTGTTTACTTTTCGACATCAGTTGGTGTTTAGTTATTGTAGCAACAGCCTAAAATAAGTATTTTGATAATTCATATAGTATATCATTGGTCTTTAGAGTGTTATGTCGGTTGGGTAATAACGTTTGTTTCCAATCGAGGTGATTTCATCAATCCGTGCACGACACAGATATGAGTAGCTCCGTCCACATTTTTTATGAGTATATATGTATAAATACGTTTATAATCATACAACCGGCCGACTCCCAGCCTGGCAAAGAAATAAAATAAAATTCCGGGATAGGCGGAAAATAACACGACCTGTGGGATATCATCCTTCAAAGTATGGGGCTAATGGTCAGGTTGAATTGTCCGTCTAGAAACCCCGACTGCCAAGTAACCCTGCTCCTTTTAAGGGACCACCGTTATCATGTGAAAAAATTCACAAAGCCTCTAATAAACAACACGATAATGTGACCGAGAACCGCTTTCAACGTCTTTTCTCTCAGTCCGTAAATTGAGGTATAATATTTACACATCGATTTAAAAGATGGTGTAAAAACATGACAGCCACGAAAATAAACAACAATTCACGTGAATGGAAGCAGATTGTGTTTCATCCACATATATACTACTTAATACCAATTATGTAAACGGGTCTATGAGTTTGGAACTGACTGGGCTGATTGAGGTCAATCAGTGTGTTCACTCGGGTGGGTGTTCAAAACCATTATTAATTTGACTACTCTTGTTGTGGCCAAGTGGTATAGAAAAAATCACGAATGTTAACCGTGGCAACGACTAAATCTCCAAGTCCACCTTTGGCTGGATCACTACACCAATGTAATGACTTTAGCCGTATTACGTCAATAAAACTCGGTCGAATCACTTATTCCGCACACATCTGAAAACAACAACACGTGCAGTGTCACAGAGTGCTTCGTACCACCTCCTAGTAAGAACACAATATTATTAGGTGGGTTCAAGTTGACTAACCACGACAGGATGACCCAAACGCTCTGTTGAGAGGAAACTAACCATAAGTTTGGCCATTTCAAATTCCGCATCATAAGTCGAAATCAAATTCCAGTTCGTGTCGAACGGTCTATCGACTGTTGAAAATTGCCGTCGGATTTTACAAGTTAACTGGCTGCGCTGCAGAATGTAACGAAAGACAAAAATTAACGTGCATATTCCTGGACAAATGGGCATGTAGAATAGTTGAAAAGAAACCTTATAGGGGACAAGCAAAGAGAATATGCCAGTTGAAGAAGGAAAAGACCATTCCAAATAAAGAGTACTCCTTTGGGTATCGTCGGCTCAATTTTCAACCTAAATTTCGGAGAATGGAGGCTATATTGTTGCTGGAAGTCACAAAAACAAAACAGTTCAATGTAATAGCGCTTAGTTCATGAGTTGCCGTTCCTGCTCATTTTCGGGTAGTCTGGTGGATAAGTACTTAGACTTGCGTCCTCGTGCCTTGAGTTCCAAACTCCTCTGTAGAGTACTATTGTTAACGCTGACCGACGGTTTAAAATATTTTACAACTCTTCTTACACATAAAGGGATACTCTGTATCTCTTTGTGTGTCTGAAATTCTGTGGAGTTTCGTTTTAATAAAAACCAGGTGTCGGAGTGCTACAAAGGTTCACGAAACTTTTGACTAGTGTGGCAAAAGCACTTGGTAGTTCACTTTTTTACCGAAAAAATGCTTATAGTGAGATGGAATAAATGAAACTCACAACTTTTTGAAATTCAAACGAGTCCACACCAGCAATGATTTGCGGGGCCACACAAATCCAGAATGCAGAAAGCAAACTTCCCAAATATTCGGTTAACCTGGAGTGTGTGTTCAACTGAACGGTGGTCACGATTGCACCGGGTCCACGTGACACTGAAAGTGATCGAATATAGCGTACCACAACCTTGGTTTCTGTCGCAGTTGGATCGGTGAAGAAGCTGGGCGCTTCTTTCAAGAGGAGCTCCTGCAAAGCAAAAAAGCGTACTGCAAATGAACAGAAACAAAGTTCAAGTCCTTCCAGATAAATGGAGTCTAATTTAGCTCTTTCAGGATCATGGATCGGCTGCATGAAGTATGTCCTGTTGACTGGTACCTGTCAATGAGAAACAAGAGGGTGGACTCAAAATAACCAAGGTGGTATTTCCGTGTTCTCCTCGGGCTTTGCGTTTGCCAGAAAAGACAGTGGTCATCTTGCTCAGCTATTCTTACCTACTTGTAAATTATATATTAGGTAATCAATGGTGATGTGAATAGTTCTACGTTTTTCTTAAAAAAATTACTTCCAGGGTCTTTTTTCATAAAGGAAACTACTCACAAGGTTGCCTCTTCGACAGCCCACGACCGGTTTCGCCCTGCTTGGGGCTCATCAGGTAGGCACAGTCCCCGAGTTTCCGTCAATCTTATGTTCTACTTGAAGATGAGTCTCTCGTAAAAGCTAAATTGATTTGCAAACGAGTGTATTTCTGGAATACTTTCAGGGTCCACGTACCACGATTGCTTGATTGTATGCCTCAAAATAGGCATTCGACTCAGGTGATATGCAGTATCTGCCAAACAAAGCCCGCTGATTGCTCGCTCCAGAGTTTTCTTGTTCAAAATGATAGGTCCCCGGTGGGATCAATGTGGGTCTTATCTGGTGAGATATGGGAAAAATCGGGGTGAATATTGTGCATGGTCGAGATTGTTCAAAATCATAGAATCATACAAAAGAAGAGCATAAAAAATCTCGCAGTTGGATGGTTTTGGCTTGAATTTCAAAAAAAAACTTATTTAGGAGTGTTCTTCGAGGGATTTTGTAAACCGTGGAACAGCAGCTCACTTTACAGGAATAAAAGAAGAAACAAAATGGTACATTTTACCTTGAAGTGCAATATTTAAAGTTAGAATTCAAAGAAACAAAGTAGTGTTTCAAAGTTTTGCGCTGGTTTGGAAATCAAGGTACTTTTAACTAACCCCCGGTTCATGTGGCCTGTCAACCATATACGCTATTTATTTGGAACAGTGTTCACGGTATCAAACTATTTTCCAAAACACTACTCAACGATTTCTATCTATCTATCTATCTATCTATCTAACTACCTATCTATCT